ATTCATCTCAAGCTGTTGTTTCTAAATATGCCAAAGTTAGAGTTTTGCAAATCATTATTGAAAGTAAGTTTCCCAAATTTAATATCTCACACCCAGAAATTCAGTGCTATGCTTGCTTCATCTTATATATGTGAAGAAGTGTTTTCAACTATGAACCTTAGAAAGAATTATTTCAGAAGTAGACTGACAGATGAGTATTTAGCCTCGTTCCTTAGAATCAGTACATCTCATTTCACACCTCAATATAAGGAACTTTTAAAAATGAAATCGCAGTTTCATTCATCTCATTAACATATTTAAATTGCAATACTTGTATATTGTTTTTAAAATTTTAGAAAAATTTATCTTGGCTCGCCAAACTTTTTTTTTTTTTTAATTTTTGGCTTGCGAACGAAAAAGTTTGCCTATCCTTGGTTTAGATACTGGAAATGTCGGTGTCAATCTTACGACAAAGGGTCTAATATGGCTGGAATTTCTAAAATAGTACAAGCTAGAATTACAGAAATGAATAAGCTGGAGGAATTTATGCCTTGTTTGGCTCACTCCTCGTATTTTGTCAGTATGCATTCTGCTTCTTCATGACCGGAAGCAGTTAATCTGTTTGGAATTACTCAGAAAATACTTCACTTTTTTATCGGATGCACTACTCGACAGTATATTGTGAAAAAATGTACAAAATACAATTTAAAAGGAAGCAGCCAGACGAGATGGTCGGAAAAGTATGTGGCTGTGAAAGGCCTAATGAATTTACCAGAAATATTCAAATATTTAAAAGAAACTTCTCTTGATGCGGAATCAAAGCACAAGGTAGAACATCTGGTACATGGTATAAAAAATTTGAATTTACTATCAACCTGAAAATTTGAGCTAATATTTTTCCAGAATTCAATCGAGTAAATATAGAAATTCAAGAGGAATTCCTTTTCCGTGTAGTTAGCGAAAGAAATGACCAAAACTGAGGAATTATAAAAAATGAGAGAAAAATCCTATGGAATATTGGATACAAGAGTTAAAACTGTAGCCAAAAAAAAAAAAAAAAATTGCAGTTGTGTCTATTCTGACAAAGAAAGAATTCCAAAGCACAAAAAACAATCTAATGAACTGTTTGAGGACAAATCACGAACACTTCAACCTGTTCAGATCGAAGTTTCAGCAAATTAAAACATACTAAAAAATATCTATGATCATCGGTGAGCTAGGAGCGTTTATCAAGTCTCGCGATTCTGGCAACCTGAAAATCAAACCGCAGATCAAATTATGACGATTCCATGCACTTATTTGCAGAACAAAAGGCTTACAGAGTAAAATTTTAATTTTCGTTACTAATTCCATGACATTTTAATAGCGTTAAGGCAGGTAAGAACTTAAAATTACTTATGAAATAGGAAGTATGAAAAGCAAGACAGGAAGCACGAATACTCTCCGTAATAGCCCATATTCTGTATAATTGTTTCAGAATACTTCCTTTCGGCAATAGCCCATATTTTGTATTCAATGGTCCCATTAGTGGCGAGCAATAAAAGTCACTGAGCACTAGTAGTTCGGTCCGAGGGTCAAGTATAGGTGAATGGGCTGGCTGTATGAGCATTTCCATGATTTTCCCCTTGTGTAACATAGATACGAGCCAGTTCCCTTACAAAGTTTTTTCCACGGGATATTCCTTCTTTTCCATGCAAAGCCTAATGGCGAAACACACAGTAAATAATCAAACAAATGTCATGAGCAGCAGCCGAGTGATTGCAACCGCTGAATACTGGTAGATCGACCTTGCCTGGGTTCAAACCCAGAAGAACGGGCTGGCTGCATGGTTCCTTTTCATGGATTTCCTCATGTGTAATGTGAAAACAAGCCAGTTTCTTTTAAAAAGCTCCTCCACGAAAGCACCTCTCCTCTAAGCAGGTAGCCCTCCTGTCTTTGCCATATTCATATAATCTAACATAACTTAATTTAACCAGTAATGCAATAACACGGAATAGTGAGAAGCTTAGTGAATGCCCGTTGTCCCTAGAACAGAAAACGAATGGCTGTGAGGACTGGAGGGTTAGAAGCACTCGGGATTAGGGTTAGGATTAAGCTTGAATCCGAAAGTAAGCTCACCAGGGGCAATTTTCTAATTATGTAACTTCGGTACGTATTTTTCCTTTATAGCTAACAAAAAAAAAGGGGGGGCACGTAAAGAATTTAGTATAAAATGGAGCTTGGGTTTTTACCTCAAACCCTACATTTATTAAAGAAATTAAAACTTTTTAGAGAAACTTAAGGGATGATGGGTGAGGGCGGCAGTTTTAGCTTTTGCCCCTCATCAGAAAAATCAGATCCGGGGCTGAATGGACAATTTAGAGGGAAAAGAAAATTAATGTAATTTCTTGCATATTTTATTTATTTTATACGTGCAAATGTTCATCCTTGAAAAGGGTATAAGCAAACTGAAGATATAAAAGCTTGCATAGTATACATACTTTTTAGCGATCAGGTAATTTCATACATGTCCTTTTTATCGACTTGAAAGATTCACAAAATTTTCCTGCATTTTCGTGCAAATTTTTCTATTTGAGAAAAATTATTTACATGTTTCATATATAAATTTACTCTGTAAAAACAAAATGGCGGGGTAAAAAAAAATAGCAGGTTGCTGTAGCAGGGTTGGTCGCCGAGTTACCATAATCCAAAGATTCACCGAAAAGTGATTCCAATACTAATGGAATGTATGCTCTAGTTCCGGAATTCACTTGTCTTTCTTCATGTACCCCTTTCAAAACTGCTAGACAATCATTCAAAACTTGAAAAATACATAAACATTTATTTAAATTGAGATTATTTTCTTATGTTTTTTTATAAATGAAACAAGAAAAAGTTAATAAACAACAAAACGTGAATAAAAGTAGTTCCCTTCCTGAAACTATGAAATTGCTGCCCTGGTTGAGAATCCCCTGTAGATCATTATTATTCATTCTAGAATCATCACAATTTAGACAGACAGAGGCATGACAAACTGAGTAATTATTTTAAACTAGGAATTTTTTTATGTAATAAGTGAACAATTTGCTGATTATGTAAAAGGCATCTATAATACACAATAGTTATTGAGGAATATCTGCTTTATCCATTAAAATATAAAGCAGACATGTTTTTATTGGAATTTAATATGTTGAAAACTAAAACCAATAACATGTATAAGTATATTTTAGTATGATTACATTTATTTGTAAATTCACAAATATCTTTTATTTTGTCTAGTATATGAAAATCAAATTATATATAAATTGGAATTATCTTAAATGGAATATAAATGAAACAGTTTTATAGGAGCTAATCATTAGTAACAGCTAGATTAAAAAAAAAAAAAAAAGTTAAAGCAATAATTGATTACTTTTCCATTTTAAGTACAGTCTGTGTAAAACTAACATATTGTTGTAAATATTACAAGAAATGAATTTTTGATGTAAAAGATTTCAGCATTTATTACATACACAGTTTATTAATGCTAAATTAATTACATACAAAATTCTTTTTATTTTTGATTTTTAGAACACTTTATTCAAAAACATTTGTATGCAGTAATTTCAAAAGCTAGACATGCACAAAAGGAAAGTTATGTTTTAAATATTTGAACTTTTAAATTATATTAGAAATAAATTTTGATCTCGGTTACAATTTATTTAATGAAATTAATTACTTAATCACTGTAAAATATTATTCAACATAAATTATGTTAATGCTAAATCTGTCATAATAAATATAATAAAAACAAAAACTCACATACTTTCATAAAAAGTTATATATTGAATAATACACTAGCATTTAAATGTAAAGCTGTAACTAAAGATTCGAGACTTAATAAATGAATATCTTGCATACTTTGCCCAGTTTGATTTTTCCTCTAAATTTTCCCTTATGTATAAAATATTTTAAAATGTATCATGTTATGCTTTTCTTTCTTTAAATTACAAAAATACATAACTTTTATCATACACCAGTGCAGTTAGATTATATATACAAGCATACCAATAACATTTATATATATATATATATAAATAATTGCACTGAAATTAATTATTGAAATAACACAATGTATCAAATTATTATTAAACACAGTATGTCTAAATGCCTGCACTATTTCTTAAATAAATGAGATTCATTTTGGAAGAAAATCTAAACATAAATTATGTTCACAATAATAATAATAATATTAAAAAAAATTGTTTTACGAATGAAAATAAGAAAAGGGGCTAATGAACATGAACGAAAATCTAACATTTATTAACATTAACATGAAAATCTAACAGAAAATTCTAACATGAAAGAAAATGTTCAAAGAAGAAAATTCTAAATTATTATTTACACAACCATATCATTAATATATTTTACTTCTGATGTTGAAGAAATGAAATATATGGAAAGCAAACTTCCTATCACAGAAGATGTCAAAGTTGTGATGAGTGTAATTAAATATTTATTCACTCAAACTGTAGAACTGAATATTAAAGAATCTTTAATTTTTGTCAAAAATATTAATAAAATTTTCCTGCAGTTTAGATAATGCAGCAAAAAATTACAGATAATTTTTGTACTCACGCAGATGTTAAATAAATGTTTATATAGAATAAAATTATTATTCATAAATATAAATGTGTATTTTAAAGGAAGATTTGCATTTTGAAGGAAGGGCACAAACTGACTTTTATACTCAATAATACATCATGTAAACTTGACATATAGTAAAACTGAAAATTTCACAAAATAATTATAATTCGATCTTAATATGATTTAAAAAATTGAGAGTAATTATTCACATTTTTTGGCAGATGTGATAATGTTAATCAGATTCCTGTAATTCATCAGGTCATTTTTACACTTTTTTTTTTTTTTTTTTTTTTTGTAAAATAACCCATTTTTCTTTTCGGATTGGATATAGTGAATCAAATCCTCAGTCTCTTGAAATTTTTTATAATGGGGTTTGAATGTAATTGGTAATAAAATACGCATGTAAATACTGTATATTTAGTCCATTTGAGAAAAAGTTTCGAACTTTATTAAGAAAACTTACAATTTATACATAAAATTACTCATTAATATTTATGCAGGAAACAAAATATACACACAATCCAATATGCAAAAAATACACCATATACCACAGTTTATTTAAGCGTTATTAAATTTTATGAAACATGAAAAGAATTCAGTATGAGTAGAAAGTACATATTTAGAAAAACTGCAAATGGCTTGTTTTCATTTATAAAATTTAAATGTTCAAACACCATCTAAAATTCAGGTGATAATTTTCTCTTTGTACTAGGAATTCAACTGTACAGCATCAGTATGCTTACGCCACTCTTTCACATGGTTATCAAATCGTGAAGAAATGCTTGCTAAGGATTCTTTTGATTTTGCTTTCTGTTTTTCCATTTTGCTTCGTCTGAAAAGCTTGAATTCTTCCCATATTTCTTTGTCAGCTGAGGAACATTTAGTATGACGTTTTCTTTTCTTTTTCTTCTGCCTAATAAATATATATTAACAAAAATTTTAATACATACTGCTACATTCATTCAAACTTTTTTCATGCTAAATATGCATACATTTTAAATGCCAGGATATTATACACATTATCATTTTTGCAAGTTTTCATAAAATGTAATTACCCATACTCCTGCTAAAAAATGAAACATACTAGTGATGAATCACTTCTTAAAACTGCTTTAATTAAGCATAATCTTTCTTTCATTTAAAATAAAATTAGCATTTTCCCTAAAATTCCTAGGTTCATAAAATAATTTTCATTTATTTATATTAATTTAAAGTTTCAATGTCTTTCTGAAATTAATATATTAAAAAATAAAAAAACATAAAACAGTATATTAACTTTATAAATAATTAAGTTATATTTTTCAGCTCACTTTAACCCTCTGGGCGGCCAGGGTTTTCTCTAAGAAAGCACAAATTTCCCAAAACTACTATGAGAACAGATTATTTTTTTTGATTTTAATGCAAAAACTCTCCCGGTATTTCATACCTAGATTTGTTTTCTTTTGATATATTGCCTTAATTTTGTTGACATATTTTAATATGCACGTATATATATGTTCTTACAGATATCACAATAAATATTCCAGGCCGTATATATACGGCCTTGCCGCTTAGAGGGTTATGTATGCTTAATAACATTACAGTAATCATAAAGAAATATTGGCATTATTTTTTCTTGGGCAGAAATGTAAGATTTTATCATATTTTTCGAAGAGTAATATTAAAACCTGATTATTGTGACTGATTTGGTTCTCAATAGCACTTTTTTATCAATGCTATTGCCTCCCCCTGAAAAAAAATATTGGTCTAATTTTTAAAAAAAGTCCTGAGAGTCCATATTTTCAACAATTTAAAAAGTTGCATGAACAAAATGGAATTAGTATTTTGAATATTATTTGTTATATAGAGCATATATTGCTTTCATTCATGAAAAATATAAATACAAAAGTATAATTGCACAACCATATTTATTGTTTTTATCTTAATTTTTTACAATTTACATACATTATATGGGTAAATGTTTAGATGCCATACTAATGAGAAATTAAGAAAATTACTCAAGCCTCCTATATAAAAAAGACTTCCTACAATCTGACAAATACCATCCACAGCAATAAAACACATTTTGCAATATAACTCCAATAGTAAACTATTGTTCATTATTTAATTTTTTTATAAATACCACGCCACATCTTCTGGTTTACATATGAATAGTTTGATGGCCTGTTCGGAGAAGGTCTAGGAAAAGTTCAATGATGGATTTGATAGTTTATGCATAGAAGTACAGGTATAGCTATTAGTGTCAAAGCATATAATGCAAAACAACAAGTATATGTATTACTAAAGCAGAAAAGAGTGAAATGAAAAAACATCTGATACACTGGCAAGGAAAGCATTACAATGGATCTGGTGTACATTGCTGAAAGAATCATAAAATTTTCACATACTCTAATAAGACATGGAAGTTCAAAGACGAGGATGACTTAAATCATGAGATTAACTGAGCTGCTTGTGTATTTTACCATGCCTAATATTCTAGACTTTTTGTTCAAACAACTTACTAACATTCTCTTCGGACAACAATGATAGATTCCACTCTGAATTACAGACATAAGTTACATATGCATTTTTTATTTTGAAAAAGTGAGAATCTATGTAGCAAATGTGGTCTATAAAAGGATCTTCAGTACAGAGGCACTCTATAGTTCACTTCTAATAGAGATGACTTTTGAACTACAGATGATTGTTTGAAATGTTTACTGTCAATATTGCTTACAACAAGATGTCAAAGATACCTTTGCATATTTCACTGATATCAACAACACATCCATCCTCACTGAAAGCAAGCTCATGAGTTTTAAAATAGAAATTAAGGGCTATTCATCTCGAAACAGCATTGTGCATCGAATCACTATAAATGGCTGTACCACTTTTTAAATTGTTGCCACCAACTCTTATTGTCCTGTACTATATTTAAAGAAATTAAATAATGAAGAATATCCATGAATGTATGTATGGATGCTTCTTGCATTGTAAGAAAACAACAATACTTGAGCTGTCAAATTTTGAATAACGTAGTCCTCCACCTGAACACTGACACCTGGAAGTTTGAAGCTTGAATTTCAAAGTTATTTTACGATCTATTTCATATTTTTAAGCTTTGAAATAGATTTTCAATTAAGAAACTCAAAAGATTTAAAAGTAAGCAGTGGCAACATACTATGCTGAATAAAATATTTTTATCTCCAGCAAGTGTGAGTGTCTATCGCAAATTCTAAAGATACATTACTTTTAAATATTTTTAATCCAAAGGGGCATTAACTCGAATGCCTCAAAATGTGTATGTATGTGTAAATGAAACAATCTGATGTGGACACTATGACTTCCTTGTATGGAATATTAAATTATACGCATTTCCCCCCCCTGCATTTCATTTAAACTTATTTCCTTGAATTTCTTTAGAGACACATTTCTCATTCAATTAATTCCATTCTTACTTTGTGACAAGGCAAAAATACATAAAACCTCAAAATATCTTCATTAAAAATTGAAAGATATAGAAAAACATAAAACACCAAATACAGTTGAAATAATTAAAAAACATTACAATTAAAATTGAGAGCTACGCAAAAACAAGTAATTCGGCCAGCAGGCAAGAAGGCAGATCTTTTGGCACTCAAAACTAAGAGTTTCCTTTTGATTCCATTCGGCAAAATGACACTGAAGGTGCAGAAATAAACTTAATTCACTATTCTGCTATGTAAACAAATATGGCTGCTATGGTAAAAACAAATTCGGCTTAGCCGCACTTAAACAACTTTTAAATTGTTGATGACTCTACAACTATTGCATGCAGATTAACTAAAGGCACAAAATCCTTAACCGGAAGATAAGAATAACACAATTTAATCATTTTTAAAGCAAAAAATACACAATTTACCAACATATAAGAAAAGAAAGAGAGCTAAGTGAGTATATATACATATTTATACACTTTTTTTGCACCCAATTAAAACCAAAAAGGGAGGTGCACAACTACATGCTACAGCATTCCTATATATAAAATTTCAACGTTCTGAGGCTAATCAGTTTTGAGTTTTGCGAGATACATACATATGTATGTATAGACGCCAAGAAAAATCTCTTTTGAAATTGTTTTAAATCAGTTTTATAATTTGTTTTGGGGAAAAAGAGTCCTTTATTCTGTTCTCATGTACAGATGTCATACGAAAACATTGTTAAATTGCATTCAATAGCTGTCAAAATGGACATTTTCATTTAAATACACTCTTAGACAAAAAAAAAAAAAAAAAAAGGAGAAAGACGCATCACGCCGCACTGAGAAGATATAAAGCGAATTGGACACAAATTAATAATATGCATACATTTTCGACGGAAAATCCAAAATTTTACATTTTGGCTGCCAGTTGTGCTACAGCGCATCTGATCTGCACAGCTGGCAGGATATTTAAGAGGAGGAATTATGATTCCAGGTCATAAATTCTTCACGAATTTCATTCCATGTACTCTGGTAGAGAGTAAGTATGCCTCGCATACATGTGCATGGATGATTTCGCAGATGTCAGAATTTGAAAGAGCTCGTGTAGTTGGGCTCAAAGAAGTCGGTTGGTCTTATTGGCGAATAGCTCGATATTTGAGCAAGAGTGATGCCACTATTAGATGATGTTGGCAGGAATGGGTAAACCATGGCCGCACACAGCGTCAAGAAGGAAGCAGTAGGCCTAGAGAATTGACAGAAAGTGAAGACCAAGCAATCGTCAGAGCGGCACTCACAGCCCCAGATGCATCATTATCATCGATTATACGTGCAACTAGACCTTCAGTGACCGCAAGGACCATTCATAGATGGCTCACAGAAAGGGGGCTGAGGTTACGACACCCCTTGCACCAACTACCATTGACCTCTGTACAACGTCAAGCCTGTTTGCAGTGGTGTCGGGCTCATTCGCACTGGAATGTCACTGATTGGAGTAGAATAGTCTTCAGTGATGAGTCCCTCTTTGAACAGAGCCCTGATGACCAGTGAAGGCGATTCTGGAGACGCCACGGACAGCAGTGTGATACCAAACTGACTATCTTCCAGCAGACAGGCCAACAACCAGGAGTTATGGTCTGGGGTGCCATTTCATTTCATAGTAATACCCCTTTGGTTGTTATCCGTCACAACCTTACAGCACAGCGGTACGTTGACAAAGTTCTAAGGCCTGTTGTGTTGTCCTTCATGTCAAGCCACCCTGGGCATACATTTCGGCAAGATAATGTCCGCCCCCACACTTCACATGTTTCTACTGCTTGTTGAACACTACCTTGGCCAGCAAGGTCGCCGGATCTCTCTCCTATTGAGCACATTTGGAGCATTATGGGCAGGGCCCTTCAACCAGTTTGGGATGTTGACGATCTAATGCGCCAGTTGGACAGAATTTGGCACAATATCCCTCAGGAGGACATCTGCAAACTCTATCAATCAATGCCAAACCGAATAACTGCTTGCATAAGGGCCAGAGGTGGACGAACGCATTACTAACTTTTTCACTTGTGAAGTTTTATTACTTCAAATAAATCATCCAATTTTACTCAAACTGTAATCATTTGTTTTTCTGTACATGTACATCACTTCTACCGATTTTCGTCCCATTTGGATAACTCCTTCTTGGTGCATCTTTTTTTTTTTTTTTTTCCTAAGAGTCTATGATACCTGAAAATTTTTGTGATTGCATTTCTTTACTTCGTACAAGGAAGTAAAAAAGTTCCTTTAGGTATAATATAAAATCTGAAATCTTTCAGACTTTTTTTTTTCTTTCAGATCACTGAACTGGTTGACTGAATTTGAAGGCCGAATATTACATGCTTTATTGAATGGCAATACATTTCTTTTAAACAGTTAAGTTTTCTGATTAAATTTTAAATATAAATAGCAAGTGGCAATGCACTGTTGGATAAAACTGTTTTGAC